GAACCGAAACTAGATGTAAAAATTGAAATTTAAAAAATTATTAGTAATATTATACTTCACATATGTAAGCGTGATAGTAAAGTAAGATATAAGTCATTGCATGGAAGATTTGAATTTACTGATAAAACCGTATAGTGATGAATGAATTTATCTTGGAATATCACAACTTAGAGTAGTATTTCATGTACAAACTGAGAACGAAATAATAAAAGATTACCCAGGAACACAGTTCGTAATATTTATTAAATTTCTGACACGTGTGTCAAAATCACTGCAACTCAGTAATGGAATTGTTAGTTAATATGTTGATTATTGGAGTTTTATGAAGGAACGAAGCACGTTGCAAGACACTCGTCATAGCCACAACCATATAATATAATACTTTCTGGTTACAACAATCTCTACCCCTAGCTTGCACAGAAACGAGGTGATAAGACAAAAACTGAAAGACAAATGGCTTGTTTTCCAGGAGGAATAAAGGTGTCATTGCTTCGTACGAGACGTATTCTTGATCAAAATTTAGTCAAAATCACATAGTGAAATAGTCATAAAATACAAGCAGTCGTTGAAAAGAAGTGTGCAAATTTTCAGAAATAAATATTTACTCCCATGTGTCATTTGTTATTTTGTACATTACCGCCAAACAAGCAAGAGATAATTTTTAAATTTATGACTATTTTCATTTATACCATACATAATGCGTTAGAAGCGTTTTAATTATTATGTTATTTGTTTATTGATTTTTCTTCAGAATACTTAAATAAATTAACGTTAGGCAATACCAAACTATGCACATTTTACAAACATTGAAAATAGGTGCAGTGAGCTTTTTATTTCATTGAGAATAAACATGATATTGTGAAGAGCAATGAAGTAAATGATAATTCACAGTGTGGTAATGTACAAAATTATTTTGCGTAAATTGCTCTTTTGCAAGTATCGAGTTCAATAATGTTTTGAAAGGAATTATATTGTTTTTCCGTATGTACGAGTTAGATTAAAAACACCATAAGCCAAGACTTTTTCCATTTACGAACCATTCTTTAATTTTTAATACAGTGCTTCAAATTTAATTACTCCCCAATTGCTTTCATTCATATCATTACAAACATTTGAATGGGAGCACTGGGAGCGTTACATGAAACCTAACGCATTAATTCCAATTTCGTAAAAAAGAGATTTACTCGACTCTCATCGTTATACACTGCTTTTTGTTCTACAATATCATATGCTGTAAATAGATACTGCTGTATGTCTCTTTTCTCTTGACGCAATTATTGCATTTTCATATACTTAGTGCTTTATCCAACAATTCCTCTTGTTATAAAATACGAATTAGAATAATACAAAACTATTTTGCATTAATACACATAATAGCTCACAACATAAAATTATTTGCTTGATATTATGAGAAACATATTTAAAATAATTTTCTTCACTGTGTATCACTCCCATTTATTCGAGTTATTTCGAGATATATTTTATTTCCTTTGATAAAAGGAGAGGACTTTTTATTCCTGTTACAAGTTTTTATACTTGTTACAAGAGGATTTTTTATTCCTTCTAGATGTAGAAAAATAGTAAGATACAATGAAAATAAATTAGGAAGGCTCTTAGTAGCCAGCCAAATTTTTAAGTCTCACCTTCATATTGTTTCCAGGCGTGCTGCTTTCTGGAACCGATTTCTGCTGAATGTAGGAAGGTAAAAATTTTCAATAATTCCGAAACGTATGCGCCATCAATAATCTTTGTATGCACTAAAAACAATGCACATACACACATATAAAAACCTTTTACACAAGATACGCGATGCGCTGAGGTTTCTGGGATGTGGGATCACAATGCAGACTCATAGAATAAATCCATTTATTTGTATTGAACAGACAGTGAACAGTTGCACACAGCGGCCGACAAGTCGAGTTTCTGTCCTCTGGCGGCGGGCAAACACAGCGCAGACCACACACAGCGACATGGGGACGCACAACGTCACGAGTGAAGTATATGAATATAAAGCAAATCACAGTCATCGTCAACAATATGTGTATATATGTGTATATATATTTTATGTATGTACGTTACGCAGGTAGGTACACAGGCCTTACACTGCGCAGGGCGAGGCCGCGGCGTCTGGGACGGGCGAACACCACGCAACTTAGCTGACACGCACATTTCTCAAACGCTTGCACTCTCACACTCGCACTCCTTCACGCACACACAACACGTCCGGCTTGCTCTCATCGCGCGCCGCTCCGCGCCGCGCAACAGTTAACATGAGACGAAACGCGTTTTTTGGTCCATAGCAAGAGTGGCGCGTTGAGGCGGAGAGGGGGCGGGGCAGAGCGACGTAGCAGGGGGCGGGGCGGGGCGGGATGGCGGGCTAGGCGGGGGCGCAGGGCGAAAAAGAAGGGTTGTGGGAGGGGGGAGGTTGAAGGCGCGTTCTTCCCGACCAGGCGCGCGGTAGCCGCACGGACGTATGGACACGCGTGCACGCGCGCAATGCGTGCGTGCGTGCGAGTGTGCGTGCGGAGACACGTACTCGCGCGTTGCCGCTTTCTCGGGCGAATGCGTTACGCACAGCAAGGAGGAGGAGGGAGCGGCGCTTGAGAATGCCTCTTCAGAGTCACCCGGCGGTCGCCCTGAACTCGCGGTCTCGACCTTTTGCTCTCCGGAGCACTGCCGGTCCGCCACTCGACAATAAAAATAATAATTTTCTTCCGAATGTCAGTTTCATTCATGTAGACCCATTCAAATATCATTACTTGAAGCGCACTCTTACTTCAGAACACCCACTGCACATGAAACTCTTTTGGTGCAGTATTTTACACAATTTGTTCTCAACATTTTATTCTTCACAAGGTTAATAAAAATCTAGGACGTAATTCATTTCCAATTTGAGTATCTTTCTTGTATCTGATTAGTTGGTATCATAATTGTATTTAAAACAACCATGAGATGCAGAAATACATTGATAAAATCAAGATAAACGTGCTGCTCAATAATGAGAACAACACGTACTTGGACTCAAATAAATATATATATCGGCAACATTGTCAAAAGCACTCGCTCTGTACAGAACAACTAAACTTTTATTAGCGTCGCACGTCGATGTTTAAATACAAAAATATAAACGAAAAACGTGTTTCTTCAATGCATTTCTTTTTGTTCTCAAAGCATTCAATCATGTTTGACGGAAACAAAAATTTCAAATGCATTACTTCATATATGATTTACATTTTTCAAGTGACCAGAGGATTGATATTTGGTGACGCGGCGCACATCTTTACGACGAGTAATATTCTCAAGGGCAACTCCGCCTCAATGACTGGGGTAGGAGAGCTGGGGATCTCGACCTGAAGTCGGGGGTGGGCTATTGTCCTTTCATCACGAGAAGACGCTCGCGGCAGACCGGAAACATACGGGGCGGAAGCCGATCACAGAAACCTCTACTCATCAGGCCCAATCACAGCCGGCGTCTCGCCAGTCTATGGTCATTTGACTTCGAAATATCCAACGTTGTCTAATACATTCAAATTATCGTCACACTAGTATTCTACAAAAAAACTGTTTCGACAACATTGCAAAGCGACGATCTTACGTTTACCATATAGAAATACAGATATCTTTTATGAATTATTGTACTGTTAAATTGAATTTTAAATGGAGATAATACGTTCTGTCATATTTAATATCACTTCACAAACTTAAAATAGTTTCCCTGTCATACGAAACAGAAGCAGAATGGAAATTCATGTTATTATACAGGTGTGTGAAGACATTTTTATTTTTCTTAAAATTCTTCCATTTAGGAATTTGCTCAAGCAGTTGAAATTTGCCTAATTTCGCGTAGGTCAGTCACTATTTATGAGGCGAATACCATTTTTACATAAATTTAACCTGCTAGGGCTGTCATAAGTGAAAAAGGGTTGCCTCTACTTTGTTTCCTGGGGAGTCGTGACGATTCGCTCCTATTCGCGAACATACACATCGACTCGTAAATTTTTATCTGAACTAACTTCGGCGAGTCGTCACGACTCGCGAGACCCGTTCGCCGGCTGCGGGTCCGACTCACGAGAGTGACTACTACAGCTACACCCCGGCTCCACCGCCTGTTTCCGCGAACTGCCGCACAGCGCCCTCCCGCGCGTTCAGTGGGGGAGTTTGAGGGCTAAAAATTCGTTCGAGAAGAAGCATTGCTGAGTGGATTTGTTCGTGATTGGGAAGAACCGATCACGAACGGTACGGCGATGCAGTTCTCTGAGGAACGTGCGAAGGAAGAGGGAACGGGTCCAGGTCGAGCGAACGCTAAGAAAACCGAACAATGGTTTTCATTTGAAGGGAGGACACAATTCTGACAATCTTTGAGCTAAAATTACACTGAAAGCGAGATAATGGAACGCAAATTTAATGCAAACATTCACAGTAGCTTGTAATGAGAAGTTTATGACGAAATGTCGTATTAAAAGCTCTACTCTTACATCAGCCACAGTGTGGTTATGATGGATATCAAAACCTCAAAACTCGGCTGGCTTCCTTCCATGGAAGGACACGAGCGGAACTTTTTAAATGACGCAATATTATGAGGATTCTTACAAACAGTATAAATAGAGAGCACAGAATCATCGGAATATTCGTGTCCTACATTCACACTAGTTCGCAAGAGCGTATCTTCTCTCAACATGTTTTACATTCCCACCAAATAATGCTTGGAAAGTTTTCAGTGTAATAATAGCCACGAGGCGAGTTTCTAACGCAGCATTGTGGGCACAGCACACAGGAGTCGCGCCCAATCGAGTACAACTACTCGGAGCTTAAATTATTCTTAAAAACACTTTTCATTGAAAATACTAAAAGAGGAAAACTCACGTTCCGCTGTCAGTTGCGCACCACATTTCTTTTCTTTTTTTTCGACGCGTCGTCGTTCACTGACACAAAACGGCCCCCAGCTCGCCGTCGCGCGCAACAGCCAGCGGGTCTACAACGCCCTTTCAAACGCCTGGCAGTCAGCGACGGCGCTGCAGGCGCCGGTCAGAACGCGCCTGTGGCTGGGGTGGAGCGCGGCCGGGGTTGGGGACGTGGCTTGGGCGGGGCGGGGAGGGGAGGGGCGGGGCGGCCGGCGCGTTATAGGCAGGGGCAGCGGGCGCGCGGCGGCCGAGCGCGGCGAGGGGTGGCGAGGGGGCGCAGCGACGGGGGGCGGCGCGGCGGCGGCGCGCGGAGGGCCGGCGGGAGCGTCGGGGGGCGGCGGGGCGGGGCGGCGGGGGCAGCGGCCGCAGCAGCTGCAGCGCCGCCGCCAGCTGGAGCAGCAGCAGCAGCAGCGGCGACAGCAACGGCGACGGCCGGCGGCGGGCAGACGGGTTGGCCGACGCCAGGGCGGACGCCGCCGACGACACGCAGTTCGAGAACTCCTCGTAGTCGATCTTGGTCATGGCGCAGTAGTGGTCCCGGTAGCAGCCGTCGTTGCACGACGTGGGCAGCTTCGCCGAGTTGGCGTCGAGATACCTGCAGCCAAGACGCACACACCCGCGGCGTTACATTCACGCTATGCAACAAGGAAACTAGCACAAATTGAGTAGAGGGACAAGTCATGATTTTGTGATACAGAGATGCTTACAAAGTTATTTGGTATTCGTTTCTATATGATATACGTCCTTTCTTAATGCGGATACATGCTCCAGTAATGTTGGGCCACCGAAAGTGTCCCGTAAGTGTAGTGTATGTTTTGATCGTGCGAGTTAGCGGGGGTTTTCCTCAACCAGGCATCTCCCAGCAGCAGGGTACCGTCCGAGTGGGGAAAAGCTCTAAGCTCCAGACAATTGTGATAATGTAATGCATGTAAGTGTGAAAATGTAAGGAGTGAGATCAGGGCAAGGAAGGGGAAGGAAAGATCGCGAGCTCTTCGTGGCCCAAGTGTTAGGGCACTGCTCAGGCATTCACATGGTGTTGACCGGAGAAACAACGGAAAACTACCGATCAGAGACCGAAAAAGGAAAACATACACAATTATTTTCAAATAGTAGAAAGATACTGTATGAATACAAGAATGCATAAAAAATATTGGGATATGCGGACACAACGAAAGATTTCCAGATATTGAGTTAATCCTTTTTTTATTAACTAGAAAATGCGAGAAACAAAAATCCTGTACGATGAGTAAAATGTTGTAAGAAAATAAATAACGTGTAATAATACAAATTGATTAGAAAAGGTGTAATAATAATAATTTTAATCAAAAATATATTTCCATTATCATTTGAATAATGGTAGCTCTTAAGAAACAGATGTACGAAATATTACGAATTAGACTATTTAAATTTTTTCTTTATTTTCTTAGGAATGATGGTAAGAGGGTCATGTATATGAAGGGAATTTCCACGATTTCATTGAAGAAATTGAAGTAATGATGTGAATGGTGAAGTAGTTATGGGAATGGTGTCAGGGAAGATGCACAAAATTCCCATTTAAGGTCAGGAAATGAATAGTTTGTTGTCTCAGGGAAGAAATAAAACTAGTACGATTTATTTAGTCGTGCACTTGTCATATATCAACTGTTTCATCCAATTTGGGAGCTTGTATGTCGCAACAGTTACGTCACTAAGGGGACGTTCAAGCTCCCGAACAGCTAATGTACTTAAAATGTACGTAACACGTACGTATACGTGTAAATGTACGATTTCCAGCACTATGAGCATTCCGTTTAGTGATGAATGGTACTAAGCCATCAATCTACTGGAAACTACAGAGGCGCTCACCAAGGTGCTTGTTGTCAGATAGGTTCTTAATGGAACCTTTATTGCATTGATCCGCACACAACGCTCTCTTTGTGTGTTGAGCGATACCTAACGTAGCCCTGCAGTGCCCAGCGAGTAAAGTAACCCTGCGTTTGTGCACAAGCTTATGTGAACAGCGTCCTGTATGTTACGACAGTTTCCTCCCGCACTTTATCATTTTAGTAAAAGAGCTTTCAAAAAATTAACTCAAAAATCTATCCTAAAAATGTCTTAACATTTGTCAAATTTGTTTGGAGAAATTGTTTCAGATTCAGAATACAAATGGGAGTAATAGAAAAATCAATGATTGTGATAGAAATTGTGAGTAAATGATTCAGTGAAATAACAAGCTTAAGTGAAGAGTTTTACAAAAGAAAATACTGTGTTATATGTATTTGCACAATAATGTTATAAATAATAATTTTTATTCGTAATTCACCGTTTTACATAATAAAAATACAAACATTTTGAATGGTAGCATAGGAAGGTTGATAAAAATGTATACCTGGTCCATGGCAAATACAATCATTTGTATCAACAATCTACGATTTTAGTTTTGAAAGGCATGCTACTAGTGACTGGCGTTCATTATAATGCAATACGGTAAGATTTTGGCATCGGTTCAAATTTTCATTTAAAATTCTGCTTAGCAACTTTATGCATGTGGTTAAGTGGGAGGGAGGGGCCGACGTAAAACAAACCGTGGTTGATCCCCTCCGAAGTTGACGGGACAGATGCAGCTAAGGTCTAACGGTTTTATTTTCATAACTACAAGAATATTTTAAGTATAATTTATTTACATAAAAATGGTTTAGCACTAAAAGTTGCAAATTTTTCCCACCAGAGCGCCCCAGCGATGACAGTGCGCACGGACGCGCTGACAATGAGCGAGCGCTATGCGCACAATATTACATTGGGCACTGAAGGGTTAATCAATAATTCATAAATATTTTGCGATGTCTAATTATTGGACGAAATGATAAAATTACTACTTTTAGAAATATTCTGTTATGGTAATGCAGTAATATCTCAGAACTCTATTCCAATTACAAAAAACAAACAAAAAAATAATTCTGACCTTCCTTCTATCATTTTGATTTAAACTCATTTCTTTAAGTCCGGTGCGTCACGATATCAAACAGTGTTAAAACATTGAAACTTGATAAAACATTAGGCTGACACTGCAATGATATTGGGGGTATTACAAATTTCAAAAGAATTGAGGCAATGTTGTGATTCGTTGCGATTACGAGTTTGTTATCTCCATTGGCACGCCCACCTTCAAAAACAAAAGTCCGCTCAGAACAAAGAACGAGAGCATTGGCGAAAAATTGCTATATCCTTATCGTTATGTGGATGATGGATGTCTCTTAATTCAATAGACTCGTGTGTGTTTGTGTGAATGGAATTTTAAAGAGAGCAGTGTTTTCATATTCCATGGATACAGCATTTTACACTTCCATGAGGTTTCAGTCTATTGATACCACCTAATTGCTTCTGCAGAAGCAGCGCACTATGTAACCAATGTCTCTGCTCGTTTATGATGATTGAATTAATTTCACCAAGAGAACGGTTTAGTTACGTAACGCAATTATTGCTTTTAAACTGTGAAGCACTACAATTACTACACATTCAGAAGCTTTCAAAATTCTAGAGTACGTCATTTACATGCGTTTTTTTAGACTTTTAATAAACCCTGCGGGCACTTCTTAAGCTTCGTAATTTTGGTGACCTTACAATATTCTTTTTAAAAACATTTCAATAATTGCGAAATATAATCATTAAACTTGCAAATTGATACTGTAATTCAATTTATATTTTTCTAGCCATCTAATGGAACGATTAATTCTATAGAATTGTAAACGTTTGTTTATCGACCAAAATGGGTCATTCTATGCATCAAACATTATGGAACCTAATATTATCGTCAATAAACTGTCAGAGGGATCAGAGGAAATGGCACATAGCAACATTATATTGTACATCACAGCACTACGCGTTAGGTACAGAACTGTTTAATCGAACATACAGAATACGACGAGCTGTATTTTCCAATAAATATGGTTCGAGCAGAACCATTAACATCACGCTGATATTCTCCTCAAAACCGATAAACAGATTTAGTCAGCGCAACTCTAGCATTGCCGCAACCACCGAAATAAACCACGCAGCGCCTGAAAAAGTGCAAACGCGGCTCAGCGTGCGCAGTGCGGGCGGGATGGCGTGGAGCGGGGCGGCTCGCCCGCTTTCTGAAAGAAGAATCATTACGAACCGCCCGCCGCCCGCCGGCGGCCAGGGCGAACAGAGGAAAAACGCGCAGGGGCTAATAGGTGCCTTGAGCGGCTTTTTGCAGGCGGCGCGATGGCAAAAAAGGTGCAAGCGACTTTCTGCCGCGCCGCCACGCGAAGGAAGGGCCGGCCCGCGCGGCAATAGAAGGGCCACGCCCCCTTCCGCACCCCGCCACGGCCCTGCCGCAACCTCGCCGTCCCCACATCCCCGCTCCCCTTGCCTTTGCGCCAGATAAAATCCTGTCCCGGTCGCTATTACTTCCCCGCTCCGCCTCACTGTAGCCTCCGCTACAACCCTGCCCTGCCCCACCCCGCTCGCACCTTTCTGGACGTTCTGCTTGCGGCCCTGCCCCCTCTGCCAGTTTGCCCTCGAAGCCCCACAGCTCAGGGCCCACGCCACTATCATGCGGGGGCGGGTAAGATGGTGAATGTAGGTTAAAGGTCAAAAGTCGATGACTGTGTTCTCTGAAAGATTGTGAGGAGTTGGACGAGTAGTATAAGGTGAAGTGGATGTCTTTCCCATATTTCTTGAGAAATTAATAGGGATAACAAGTGAACAGTGAATTAGGGGTCGTCCATAAATTACGTAACGCTGAAGAGGACGGAGGCGGTTGGAAGCAGCATTACGCTGCGTTACATAGGGGTAGGGGGGTCATAGTTTAGTGTTATATGATGCTGACATTTATGTTTAAAATATTTCAACATTTACTGAAATAATTTCTTTTATTCAGTCTTGTACTAAAACATTACCATATCAAGAAATTAAATTAAAAATATAATAAATTAAAGAAGTTATATTCTAGTAAAATTGTTTACATATAAGTGAAAATATTTTTATTTCAATTATCTTTTTTTGAATCTTTTAGATTACGAACAAAATATTCATTTATTTAAGTTGGTAAGTGATTACAAACGAATTAGATTATCTTGATTCCTATGTGGCTAGGCGAAGGGCCTTTAAGCAATTACAATACGTATATCCTTTTGCGTTTCTATATTGTATTCGAATTCTGGTATCACCCAAATGGTCTCTCCATCGCATCAGAAGTCGGGAAAAGGACACATAAGGACGGCTCAGGATAAAAGCCCCCTGAAAGGGGAAAACCTGCCGTCAGAAGCCTAGGTACAGTTCTAATCTATCCGACGTTTATTTTAGTCTATTTTATTTTCTGTGCGGGCGTCGCCGGTCTCTTTCCAGTGCTTGACCTCCTGCAGCAACTGAATAAATCGGGCGCCACAGTAAGATGGTCCGACAACGTAAAGCCTTGGCCTTACATTTTCGATCCCCGCTTCGCCTCTTCCCTTAATGTGTCTTATTGACTGATGCAGTTTTATTTTTTATATTGTATTGAACCAGTTATTTTACCATATTGATACGACTTATGACTTATTTCTGTTTACTAACTGATTTTCTACTTACATAAAATTAGGTACTTATGGTTTAGCTATGTGACTTAATTATTGTCTTTCATCTAGGGCTCCGCTCAGCTAACAGTGTGTTTTTCGCCATCCCTAAGTGTCAGTTTCTAATGGTCGGACTTTTCCTAAGAAATGTTCCTAATTCTTCATAAATTTAGATCTTTGTGTGCACCTAAAAGGTTTGGGGCGAGCGTTATTCCTGTTTAGAAGTAGTAATTTCCCATTCCCATGGTTTGTCCTGTTTTCTCCATGTTTCGGTTGCACAGCAAGAGGATGTGGACCAGTCTTCCCTATGCACGTCAAAGCACAGCAGATGCCATTGACCACTTTCGTCTTTAGGTCTATCGTCTGCATCACCTGCCCACCTGACAAGCGGTATCCCTCTTTGCGTCCTTTCCGAGAGTATGTATGTAACTTTCGCACCCCATCATGGACTTCGCATGGATTGAGCTACCAGCAACGTTTTTCAGCGTTGTGCCCAGATCTCTTGCCTCTTTATTCCGAATCTATAGCGAATCAGCCTTTCTATCTCACGGGTGTTCCCTATCTCCCACCATTTCCGGAGAGACGTCTCCCAACCCTGCGCGGTCAAGTAGCCGTTTAATTTTGTGAACGAAGAAAATATTCAAAACTGATCTATAGTATATTCTAGTCTACTCTTTAACTGGTTTGGCGCAGTAGAGGCTTTAGTATTATTTTAATGTTCATCACAAATACAAATAATACAACTCTTTTCTGCTTCATAATTGAATTTTATTTATTGGAATTGGGGGGTGGCTTGTCGCAAGCGTTACTTAATTATTAGAGTGGATTCGAGCGCGCGTTTCAGGTGCGTTACAGGAGGGAGAGGGGGTATTCAAAATACTCGAAATTTGCGTTACGTAATTTATGGACCGCCCCTTAACAATAAAAATGATGAATCTATATCCGGAGGAACTTACTAGTGCAGGCAAAGAGAAAAAGCGTAAAGTGGAAGGTGGTGCTGCAAAAATGCAAGAATAGTTCAATGTACAGTCATTGCCTTTAGAAGTCACAATTACATCTCATTCCGTTCACTATTTATACAAATACCTGCTCATTTTGTGTGGTGCGGCTTTGAGAGAAGCACAAAGACACTCTGGGAATCAAAATAAAGTTAAAATGTTATGGTGGAGACGCCTAATTTACCTATAAAGGGGCTACGTACTATAGAAGTGAAAAGATGCTAAATTAACATTTTCTCTGGAATATTAACAAGGAGACAAAAATAAAGCAGGAAATGTTATAAGGAAAAAAAGTTATTATTCAGATAAATCTAACTATTGGTTGAAGATGAAAGTGTAGATTTCGAAAAAAATTGGAAACTTTTACTTTTCAATCTGGAGGAACGCCTCTACTGGTCACCCCTTGCCTATTCTGAGACCAATTCCTACTTTCCCTTCTATTCCTGCCGCCAGTCATCCATTGAGAACTTTGAGGCAAAGTAGAGTGGAATTTCGAACAGAGATTGGACACCTAAATCGAGAGGAAGACTCGAGAAAAGAAAGGTTTAGTGAAAGAAGGCCAAGTTTGTTGAAACTCTCCATTTCGTAAACTAATGGTAGTACAGAAAGGCCCAGACACACTCGTACACTTAAGTTCCTGTTTAGATTAGCTTTTCGGGCTTACCTCTCCTTCTTCTCAGCTGTTATCTATTCTCGAATAAAAAAATACCATGGGCTCTACATTCTCAGTGTAGAGCACCTTCGAGCTTGCCGGAAAGGAGATAGTCCTATGCGATGATCGAGCACAGGACTATCTCCGTCCTGTGCTTTTAAAAAACATATTTCCCCATGAAATTCAATGGCCTCACCTCAGTGCTTCCCCATTTTTCTGGGTGTATAGAACCAGTTCAGACAGGTGTCAGGTCAATAAAAGGTTAAAGTTATTAATAAAACACAAGAGGGATCCTACCTATACAAAACTAAATTGCCCATATTTCAGGCACAATTATGGCAAAATTACACAGTTTAGAATTGTATACCTAATCTTATTTAAAGATCAATCTTTAAAGAGCAGATTTAACTTCATGAAGGAAAAAAATCTTTTTTGTAGAATTGGAAATATCCTGTCTTAGTGTAAGGATTTTTTACTCTCTTGAAAGTAAGGAGTATCATTAATAATTTATAGATAGACAACTGACCAAAATAATTCTATTTTCTTGAGCCTTTTTATTTGAAACAGTTTCGGGGTTATATTGTCCCGATTACGCAAAACCGGGAGAACTCGCAGTATGAACGTAAAGTCGTGCACAAGCAAGAAGCCGTGTCAGATTCAGTCAAGAGTAGGCAGTAGAGTGATTCACAGCTTCAGAATTACAATATTTTCTCTTTACTACGTAAGAACGTAATAAAGATAAAGTAAACACGAGATAGAAAAACTGGAGAAAGATGAAATATTTGTAAAGCTCATCTATTAACTGGGGAATTCAAGTTAATGTTTTTATTTGCGGCAAGATACATTTTAAGGATCTTTGGATATTTTAAGGTATTTTTTAGAAACGCCCCTACATTGCTTATGCAAAAAAATGTACGTCTTATAAAACACTTAAATTGATTATTAAATAATACTTACAAAAATGCCTCACTTTCAGAAAATGGTCACAATAAAAGAAGAAATTAAAATAAAATAAAAAAAAACAAGACCAGCTTGAAAAACATTAAAGGAATTTATCCATAAATATTTTGGATAATTCATACCAAAAAATGTTATGAAGACATTCACCCTTTCATTTGGACATACGATTTTCTAATGTGTAATTGTACTAAATGTAATAAAATAGTATTAGTAATAAAGAGTCCCTTTTCATTTAAACATCACTTCACGTATTTTACTTATTATGCGGAAGGAATTTATTTAAAATGTTAGGTAATTTAATATTTCCTCCAAACAAGAGATTGTGGCTTTACGGCAGAGGAGTAGGGGTAGCCGCACGATTGTGCGGGAATGCTACTGATGGCTCAGCCCCGATGAGGTTCCTGCGTCCTATTTCCCTTGCCCGGGGCTACGGATCCGGGAATTGCCAACAGAGTCGGTGCAAAGGGGGCGCGCTTGAGTACAGAGCGCGGCGCAGGGAGGTGGGAGCCAGAGAATCAAGGTCACGATGTATTGACGACGGGGACGGGATTGACACAGACTACCCATTTGGAAGGGCGACTAAAGACCGGGATTTGATAGGCAGGAGGAAAAAACTAATAAACATTTGGAAAGTGGAGGAACGGATATACTGCTCTAATGATTATGGGATCGTAATAGAGACCCACTTAGAAAGATTAGCCAATAGTTTATCGTTACCGGTTGTTTTGGACTTTCATACGGAATTTTGAGAGCAGAACATACGAACTGGGAGGTTGTGGCTGAAGATTTATTCTCAATGTAATGAAATCAAAGAAAATCGAGGGAGGAAATGACAGTTTTGTGTAACAAAGGAATAAAAATGGGAATTGATCCAACAAGTGGTGTGTAGAGTGAATGCTGCAAATAAATATTGATGTAAAGTAAACTAAAACGAATGCAATTGTGGAATGCTATAAAACCGAATCATGGACTGAAAGCAAAGTATCGATGTTTCGTCTGAGTGAAAATGCACACTGAAGTCATTGTCAGGTCCTCGCATATTGAGAGTCTTTGAAGCAACGAACTCTTGTTGAAAATGTAATTTATTTCTGGAAAAGTGCGGGGGGAGTTTGGGACATTGAAGTTTTCCACATTCAAGCCCAGCAAATTGACATATAATGTTCCCCGGTGAATGCCTTATTATGCATTCATATTTTGCCAGAGTTGGATCAATTCACTGCAGTTGGGGGCGAAATATTAGGTTCCCTTCAATTGCAGAAAGAAAGCAGTTCAATGCGACGCGAAACACGGGCAGAACGAAACACGTTTTGAGGGTCGAGTGCGGCAGGCAGCGCGACGGGGAAGCGAGGTCGCAGCACAGGCGGAGCTTCCCAGGGGCGCCGCCGCCCGAGGAGGCGCTCGAGTGCCAGGAGCCTTCGGCGGCCGGGCGGCCCGTGGAGGCAGGGCGCTAA